AATGCCCATGAATGGTGCCTCTTCCCCATCTACCCATGGCAGCTTCTCGTTAGGATACTGAAAACAACGCAAGGATTCATGGCTCTCTCACCTCCTCATTTTCCAGCTGGTTTGTTTGACAGTTGGGTAAAAAACTGATGATTCCCTTTGTCTTTAATTCCACTACTTTCCCATATGTTCCTTTAAATCTGTGTTTTGATCAAACCACTCTCTCACTGCACTCCAAACACAGGAGGGCCCCAACTCTCAGACAACTGAAAGAGCTGCATCCTGACGACCACATGCAACACAGCTTCAACCTTTTACTGTATGGGTGAAAGGAGAATTCTCTTTCATCGGGAGGAGTGGGGAACTGATCCAATTAGAATATATAAACCAAGTTAAAGAAATACACCAAAGGATCAGCTGAATTTTCAGCTCCATTCCCTACTGTTGGCAAATGTACCTAGCACCCAATGAGCAGTCTGCAGAATCACAATAGTTGACCTGCAGCCAGAATAGGCAAGATTCTTGAAGGATTTCATTAAACTAAAATCACACAGTCAATAGCAGTATAAAAATGGACCTTCCCTAAAGTAGGCCTCAAAACATACAGAAATGTAATATGAAGAATCTAATAACACACTTTAAGCCTTGGCTTTAAGAGATGAGAAAAAAGAAAAGAAAGAAAGAAAGAAAAAGAGAAATTAGGCATAGACATCAAATCTTGATCTTTGCTTGCAAATATCTGATGTCACTACAGCTAACAGTGCCTATAGCCCCATTCATTTACTTTGCCAATTCTGAAGCTCAAAAGGAGGTAAAAGTACTTTCTGGATACTTAAAGGACGGGTTAGGTGACCAACTAGTACATTAGCTCCTGGGAAGAATGGTAATTAAAGACGATTTCTTCCTCTGTTGATAAGACTGCTGTCAGCAAAATACAGTGTACACTATATTCTCCTCTCTGAAGAACTACTCCTCACTTTTCCCAGGATTTAAAAATTATGTTAACAATAAGCAAATACAGAGTGGCCAGATGCCTTTCGTGGTCAGATGGTTCATTGTTTAAAAAGCTTCAGTTTAAAATCCAAAAGATTGTTAACAGATGCAGTTTCTGGCTGGAGACTGGGAAAAACCTCATTTAAACAAAAGAGTATGTTGTGATTGGAACTAAAAAGGGAATTACCTTTAAAGATAAGAACCACAAACATTTCCTATTTGAAAATACCCCCAGCCCCACCAACAGGACCTTTTTTGGACCTTTCATGAAAGTTAGAAATTTGACAATAGATCGCTGTCTAGGACAAACCATGGCTGACCCAACAGCCCAGAAACTTGCACAGATTCGTTTGGACTTTCAACAAGGCCACAACATCCATCTCTTACTCTCCCCCAGATTACTCAATTAGGCAAAATTCCAATTAATTTCTTTCCAATTATTTTATCCCCAGAAATACTTTTGCCTTTTTCATTTTGGCTCTGGACATGGGTTTTCAGCCAGAGGCATAGATAGAGAAGTTTCTAAAACGAACACAGAGCTTGATAAGCAGAGAGCCGCGGCTGGGACTCAAATCAGTTACATGGAAAAGAGCCACTTGGCTGAGAAAAGTCTGGTCCCATCTTTAGGCCTCTGTCTCACTGGCCTCCATAACTTCTGTTCACTTTTACACAGAAAGTCTACTTTCACCAGCTCATGCTGTCTGTTTCTGTTGGCTTCAGTGGGCCCTTACTATATGGCTTCACTATGTGTGAGAAGGTCTGTAATGCCCTGAGTTCTAATCTTGATGATGGAAAATTCAAGGGAGCCATGGGTATGTAGCTTTCCCTCAGCCTGTGAAATGAATGTGGTTTGGCTTGCTGGTGGTAAGCCTGATTTGAAAAGGCTACGCAGAGATGTTTCAAGGAAAATAATTGTCTCTACTCTTGAGGATGGTGAGCTCAGAGTTCTCCATTCTGTCCTTCAAGAAGGGAGGTAGGGGCCAGCAGGTGGCATACTGGTTGTGGCGCTGGACTCCCACATCATTAACCGTGGTTCAAGTCCTGGACTTGGCAGCTTGAAACTCCTCCTGGGTGCATGTGTTTGCGTGCCCAAAGTCCCAAGAGAAGAATGGGGTGAAAGGGACTGTGGACTGGCCATCCCCTCTGAAGGGTGATTTCTCACTTTCCCTCTCATTGTCCTGTTCTGTGTCTCTGGTGAGCACACATATCCTACAGTAAAAACCTCTCTTTAAAAAAAAAAGAAAAAAGAAGGGAAGTAAACATCATTTTCTCTTCCTGGTTAGATGTTGGTGTTCTCATATGTACTACGTATTTCTGGATTGTTGTAGTGCCTAAAAAGTTCAGTTTCAGACCAAAGACATGGCATAGTTTAACAGCGTGAGAAGCTCTTATCAAAAAAATCCATAGTCAAGAAACACTGTAAGCCTATTAAAGTGAAGCAGATCTACAAGCCCCTGGGGTTCCCCAAAGAGTTAAATAGCTTCCTCACTCAGCCACCCATTGGTAGCTCACGTAAGGGATCCAAGCTGCTGGAATGAAGCTAGCAAAAGAAGTGCATTCCCGAAGGCCTATGCAATTTGGCCAGATAATTGAAGGAGGGTCCATCTGTCAAAAAATGAGATTCTGAGGCCAGTGGCCATGTTCACATCCATCCTCCTACAACAAAGCCAACTCCATTGTGCACGCTTGAAACAAGGTTTGCAAGGGGATCCGATTGGCCTGGAAATTGAAAAATGAGCAGCAGCTGCAAGGCCGAGGTCATTACTATCCTCAAGGGTTTGCCTTTTCTAATCTAAGGGGCAGTAGTTTCCATGATTAACTTTCAATTGCTGTCAAGGGTGTAATAAAATCTGGGAAAGAAGAAAACTTTCCCTTCAGTAAACTGCTCCCATTTTCCTGCCTTCTCCTTTTCTCCAGCGCATATTCTCAATCCCTACTTTTTTAATTTCCTAATTTTGAGAAAAACGTCTGTACTAGACTGAGCCAAAAATAGACAATGGCCTCTGTGTAAACAGGCACTTGAAGATTTTTCTTTCTCGGTACTAGTGGTCAGTCTTTAAGGTGTCAATGTGAAAAGTTGTCTTATTTGTAAAGATCACACAAGACCATGATCTTAAAAACTTATCACTTTTCCCAGTGTGTTATATAGGTTTCCTCAGTCATGACATCATGACAACTCATCAAGAGAGGTCTTCTGGTTGGTAAGACATGTACAAATAGAGCTGAAGAGAGGACAGCACATGTGTTCACAAAGACATCCTACTAATTACACTGGGTTAGGAACCCTTAAAACTTCAATTTGGGCTGATCTGATAGAGGCTCAGGGATCATACTGAAAGGTTACAGCTGGTCACATCACTCAGCAAAGACCACTGGAACCAAATCCAACACATAATTTTACTGATTGCAACTTTTCAGGTAGAACATTAAATACCCCTTAAATTTTTTGGCAGTATTCAGTATAACACTAATGACAATTCAGTGGTTCAGTCACTGTACATTCATTTCAAAGCATCAGCTGTCAGAGTTATATGGATGAATGGGACCCAGTGTCTCAGAACTAAAGGCATAAAGTTGCTGGAAGAGACAAGGCATAGACAGGCTCACTACTAGAGAGAGAGCCTTGATGAGTAACAGAAGATGCTCCTGGGAGGAAGGAAAGAGAGGGCAGAGCAGCTGAGAGACAGGTTCCTCCAAAATGGAGGTTCCAAATTGTTTATCAGTTACCTATGAAAGGCTTCCCTGAGCCTTAAAAAGACGGAGTCTTAAGAAGATATTGGATTGCTATAGTTCGTTTCTGTGTCCCTGGGTCATGAGTGAGTAATTGGGGGACTGACAGTGGCACAGCAGGAAATTGCATTGCTCTGCAAGGCCACCCACATGGGAAGGTTCCAAGTTCATGTATGGAGACCTCCCTGAGTACACAAGGCACAGATGTGCCCATGATCTTGACTAGCTGAGGCTGGACGTGGACTGTGGTGCCAAGACCCTGTGTGGGGATGCCATCTCTCTCTATCTCTGAGCCTTCTCTCTGTACATCTCTCTTGCTCATGGAAGAAATAAATACATAAACTTAAAAAAAAAAAGTGAGTATTCAGGGTACCCACTGTCTGTTGGAGAGAGAGAACACTTCTCTTAGGTCAATCCCTCTCCTTCCTACTTACTCATGCTGGTTCAAGTCTCTGTTGAGACAGGGAAAGAAGTTACAGGGAAAGTAGCTATGAACAGGATTAATGCCCCCAAGTGGTTGTGAAGACAATCTAAGAACCCACTATGGGGTTTAGAAGTGTCAAAGTGAAGGTTATTTCAGGCGATACAGTCATCATGGAGTGACACCTGGTACTGTGGATACTAGGGAATAATGGCCTTTGGTGTTCTCACTGTCCCCAATATCCATCCTTCCCATCCCCAGTTTTAAACAGGAAGTGATCACCCAAAATGAGGCTTTGCTCCTTTCAAAGGCTTGTGGCCATGTAACTAATAGATGGTCACAAGGGGAAGTCAGGTATACAACTTCTGGAACACGTACCTAATAGTAGGGAATGAAGACTGTGCTTTCCCTTTCCTCCATCCTCAGTTAGGAACATGAAATAGCTTGGGAGCCATCTCAGACATGAAGATGAGGCCACATCTTAGAGATGGCAAGATGGACAGTTGTCAGAAGGCAGTCACAAAGGGCTGTGAGCCCACCCTACTAGTCTAACCTACCTGTATACACAAACTATTATGGAATGAGCATGGGTGATGGGGACTTCTATGTTGTATAAGCGAATGTTATTTGAGTCTCAGTTACATGTAATTACATATAATAATTACAGGTGCGTGGGGGGTCCATTAAAAGGTTGATAAAAACAATATCCAAGGAGTTGGCACTTTGCTATACGTAACACCAAGGCCACAACATGACACATTCAACCTGGCTTTTCACATTATAAAGAGTTCTGGTTGTGAAATGGGAGCACAAAGGAAATCATAAATGATAATTTTCCACTTAACCATAATCACAATGAATAGCTTACCTTTTTCTTGCTACAGTAAATTTGCCATTTTTTCTCTGCTGGAAGTGCAAACATGGCTTCCCTGTGTTTGTCTGTGAGGTCAAGTTCATCCTGAGAAGAAAGAAAATAATTATTATTTCATAAATCAAATGATATTCCTACAGAAAAGTGAACAGTTTGATTAAAAGGAGAAAAAAACATCAACACAAGAGAAGAATCATAAAAAAAACTATGCATGGATTCCAAATTAAACTCATGCTTTAATTTGATTTCCCGTGAATTCCCAAAAGCCCCCACCCCCAAATTTAGGTGAACTTGAATAGGATCAAGAAACTAAACTAGGTGTTACTGCCTTTAAGGAAGCACTTTCCAGCATGGGTTAGGCATCACGCACCACCCTCCCCTTACTGATTATTGGGGAAGGTGAACTGAGGATGGACAGAATTACCCTAGGCTACTATCTATTGCCAGGTAGGTCTGTTGAACAGTAAAGACCAGCAAACTCAGAATTTAGATTTCATCATATTAAAAAGATGAGGGTGGGCCAGCAAATGGAGTGTAGGTCATAGTGGCTGGATCCTACACGGTAGACCGTGAGGCTCAAGTCCTGGACTCAGTAACTTGAAAACCAAACCAGATGCATGTATATGCATGCTCAAAATCCCAAGAGGAGAATGGAGATGGGATTGTGGCGTACCCATCCTCCTTGGAGTGTGTGTGGAGGGGTGCTTTCTATCTTTCCCTCTATCTGTGTCTCTGGTGGGTGCATATGTCCTAGCTAGATAAATAGATAGGAGCGCTTTGTGGGGATGGTTTCACAAACACCGACAGCCAGGCTGGGCCCTGGAGGGCTTGAGTATGATGAGGGAAGAAGCAACAGAAACAAAAGCTGGCTGTAACAGACCTGGAATTTGGGGGACAGTGTCCAGCTCAGCTGAAAACCTGGGTTTATGCAAAAGACTACCAGATGAGCAGTTTGAGAGGTAGGGAATGACCAATTTGTGGAAAGCCTCAAATGCCAGACCGCTTAAGGAGTTTATTCTCATTAACAAAATGAGACAATGAAGTTTTGAGCAAGGGACTTCATTGTCCTAAGCCCCAACTGATATGTACTAAGTAATTTATGTGCACATCTCATTATTAATGCACATTGTAATACAGCTGGGGGAAATTTCAGCTGAAGACTGGGTAAGTTACTTCTTCAAGACTGCACACCTGGTAAATGATGGGGCTGAGTTTTAAGCCCAGAGCTGTTTGACTTGAGAGTCCAAACTTTTAACCTCTCAGATCAGTCTTCAGAAACATTCATTTTATAGTGTATACAGCTCATCGGACATTAGAGGAATGCAGTTTATAAACATTTATAACTAATGGATAACCACGATGGGATAATAAATTAAAAAGTACTTAGAGAAAAGTCCTTAGCATTTAATAAGAACTCTACCTGTAGTCAATACCATTGTCGTTACCGAGCATCTAGTACATGTTGATTCTCAGAAGGGAAGTTACTAGTTCAGGGTGGTAGATGGAGGGATGTGGAGAAGATACATTAAAGAAGAAGTTTTTAGTTAAAGCACAGTAAGGTTTAGGCTCCTGAAGAGTATTAGTAAATTCCCCTTCTGAATGGCTCTTGTATATACCCCAACTCTGCCATTTGTGTACGCAGCTTCACATCATAGGCTTCTACCTTCATCTTGTCAAGTCCTATGACTTCTTCCTTGAAAAAGAATCTCATGATTTTCTCTTTGTTTCATTCCCAGCGAAAACCACCCTCACTTACTTATGCCTTACTAACCTCTCGTTTGGCATCTGGCAATAGTCTCCCACTGTTTTTCCTTGCCTTCCCAATCCTTCCCACTCAGGACAGTCAGAATCCTTTCAAAGCAATGGTTCTCAAACTTTGGCATGCATCAGAGCCACCTTCAGGGCTTCTTAAATCACTGATGGCCAGCCTCAGCAGTGAGAATTGAACACGTGAGAGAAAGTGCAAGAATCTGAACTTCTGTGAAGCTCCCACAGACTGGTATTGCTACTGGCCCATGAACCACACTTTAGAAGCCCTGTCTTAAAAATAGAGCACCTCTGCTGTTTGGAGCTCCAGGTTCAAATAGCTTCATTAGTTCCACATTTCACAGTCTTCCTTTTGACGTATTCTATTTACAAGCTACTTTGCCAGACTTGCTTCTAATTATTCCCTTAGACTCTATTTTGTTACTACGCACACCTCCAGAGTCTAAAGCAGGCTAGTTTTCCTGGGTTAATTAAACTGGTTTCCCTAGCTTAATCTCCTTAAGCCTCTACTTCATCATTTCCAGGATGGGGATGTCACTTGTCTTGCAAGGTTGTTATGAGGATTGACATCAACTTAACATCCAGTAATGCCTGTCCCTGAGGTGGCAACTGTACTGTTGTCATTTCTCTCATTATTTAAAGACAAATCAGTCACTATTTCCCTTCTAAAAACAAGGCAAACAGTAGACACCAAAACACACACATAAAATATTATCTCTTAGGCACAAAAGACCAACTATTAAGAATTTCAACAATGAACAACCAGGGAAAATTCCATTATGAGGGAACATGTATAAAATGTGAGAATTTTGGCATGCCACTATTACATATGTGAAGCAATTATTTTTCTTCCTTTCTTCGTTTTTAAATTTCCTGTAAGTCACACTTGCTCTCCTCTATTGATGAATGGGGAAAATAATGGCGACATTAATCACTTCCCGACAATTAGGTCAGTGATTCAAACAGCTCCATAATACGCTGCTTAGGTTGGGGAAAAGGTTTTTGATTCGTGAGAGAGAACAGCACTATTAATAGTTCATCCTTTACTACACTACAGCACAGTTTTTGATGGCTGAGCAGAGGTGTAAAGAAATAATTGAGTTCTAAAACCTAGAAATTCACAGCAAACGGCATTAATATTACCATCTTTTGCAGTTAGAGATAGATGATGTCTGATTCTGCAGATCCATAAATGACTAATTTTGAATTGAGAGACCACAAGAACATGGATTTCAGGGCAGACGGTTTCACACAAGAAGATAATTGTCATAAAGTAATTTTAAAAATTGCTAGAAGGTCTCTGAATATAATGTTGGATCACAGTGAGAAAATAGGGAGGAGTGCCAGCCGGTGGCATGGTAGTTAGAGTGGTATGTCCCAAATGGCCACTGCACAGTTGGAGTCACTCAGACTGAGCAGCTTGAAAAATATGCCAGGCGAGCGTGTGTGCGTGCTCAAAATCCTGAGAGGAGGGAGAAATGGAGGAGAAGAGGTTGAGGTGTGACCATCCCCCATGGGCAGGATGCTTTCTTGCTCTCTCCTTGCTCTTTCTCCTGCTCTCTCTCCCCAGTACATGAACAAGCCCTCTGGTAAATTTTTATAAAAGAAAAAGAGGGGCCAGCAGATGGAGTAATGGTTATGTCACCAGACTCCCACATGGCCAGCAGCAGTTTGAGTCTAAGGCCTGATGGTTTGAAAATCACTCCATGTGCATGTGTGTGCATACCCAAAATCCCAGGAGGAGAATGGAGGAGAGGGGATTGTAGCATGGCCATACCCCAGGGAGTTGATTTCTCACTTCCCTTTGGTGAATGCACATGCCCTATGACAAAAGCCTCTAAAAAAATGAAAAGAAAGGAAAAGGAAAAAATGGGAAGGGATAGATGAATACTGATAATAATAAAAGCTAACAATTTTTGAGCACCTTCTGTGTGCTTAATAGTAGTGTTTTATATGGATTAATTTATCTTACTTTCCTAACAATCCTATAAAGTGGGTCATACTATGACCCCATTTTCCAGGAAATTAAATCATAAAGAGAAGAAGTAGCTTGCTCAAGGAAGCTAGTAAATAGCAGAGGAGGAATTTGGGTTCAGATTGCCTAGTTAGGGATCCCGTATTCTTTTTTTTTTTGGAGAGGTTTTCACTATAGGGTGTGTGCACCCGCCAGACAGACAGAGAGAGACATAGAGACAGACAGCGAGAAATCACCTCCTGGGGGGATGATCACGCTGTAATCCCTTCTCCTCCCTTCTCCTCTTGGGATCTTGGGCACGCATGCACACGTGCCCGGCGTGAGTTTTTAAGCCACCGGGTCCGGGACGCGAACTGCAGTCGACTACGTGGGTGTCCAGCGACATAGCCATTACACTAATTGCTGGTTCCTGGGATCCCATATTCTTAACCTCTACATCATTCATCCTATCAACTGAACAATCATGATACTGATTTAAATGTGAAAATGCCTCCATCTATCAGCAGAAAGAAGGGGCTTTTGTTGTCAGATAACTCTGAGTTCTAGGTCTGACTCTTATGGGTTAGGCAAACCTGGAAAGTGACTTAACCTCTGAACTTCAAATTTTTCTTCTGAAGATAGATGATAAATTCCTCAAGGAGTTATTTATGCAACCAAAAATAACATTATTTTTATTTGTTTAGTGTCTACTAATGCCAGGTATTATAATAGGTACAGAGGACAAAAAAAGCTCACATTCTTGTGTGGGTAAAAGAGAAATGAAATAGCTGCACTAAACAAGCGATAATCACACACTAAGTTGAGTTTTGAGAGCCAACTTGTGTGTAAAGGTTGGACAGTGAAGAATTGTCCAGGGAAGTGAAATGAGAGTTCAGGGATAAATAGGAATTAAATAGGTAAGAAGCACTGCAGACAGTGCACAGCAACCTTGGGAAGCCTCTGTGAACTTTCTTCTTTGTCAAGAGCTATCAAAGGTCACTGGTGGTCTCCTTCTAAGCGAGGAGAGTAACAGAGATTAAATTAGATAATAATTGAGAGTGCCTACTTACGCACAATACCAAGGATCTAATAGACCTCCACCTCTCTGTTCCAAAACTGTCTCTGCTCTGACTCAATTCTATTTTAACAACATGGCTGAATCTAGCACGCAAGACTCTAAGAGAGCATCACAGCCTTAAAAGATCAATCAACACTTAACTCGCTATCCTACCCATTCCAGGACCAGGGCCAGACATTACAAAGGATACAAAGATGAATAGCAGACCTGATTTCAAGGAATTTATAATCTAGCTAGGGAGACAAGATGATAGAAAGTTTCAGCAGTTCCCTTTCTTTTCAGGACGAA